TATATTAAAGCAACAAAACAACCCTACTCATTCCTATATGTTGACAAACCAATGAAGACTGTCAAAGGAAACTTTTACGGAAATATATAATGTATTATTATAATGGGAATATTTAATCAGCAACCTAATTATGATCAATCATACTCAAAAGGAAAACGTGGTATTACTGGCCCTCAAGGACCTCCTGGCCCGCCTGGCCCTGCTGGTGCTCAGGGTAACCAAGGACCCAAATGTGATCAGGGTATTCAAGTACCCAAAGGTGATCAGGGTAACCAAGGTCCAAAAGGTGATCAAGGTGTAGGATTTAGTCTCACATCAAGGGGGGATTATAATATGTTAGGTAAACAACTGAGAGGTATGGCTAACGGAACTAGTTTTCTTGACGCAGTAACAAAACAGCAACTTGATACGAAACTATCACTTTCTGGTGGATTAATGACCTGCAATTTGGATATGATAACAATAGGATATACAATGTAGCACAACCAGATGGTGATAATCAACCAGCCACAAAAATATGGTCAGAAAATAAATTCCTGGATAACTCCAGTGGAGTAATGGCTGGACCACTAAATATGTCCAATAACAAAATCACTAACCTTGCCAAACCAACTGATGATAAAGATGGGGTTAACGAAAAAATATCTAGATGATTATTATTTGAAACTGTCTGGTGGCACTGTTACTGGTCATATAATATTGAACAATGCTATCGCTACTTCACAATATCAAGCAAACAATAAGCCGAAACACTGGAAATGCATTTCTTGTACAAATTACTAATCCATATGTTTACCACCAATTTAATATGGCCAATAATAGGATTTACAATCTAGCTGACCCGACTGATGCTACTGATGCTATTAATAAGCAGTATTTAGAAAAATCTCACGTTAAACACAGCCATTACAATAATGAATTCAAGTACCTGATGACTAATAGATTAGCGTGGACTGATCTTCAAGCGGATAGTTTTAACATTACTAAAATTGATAATTTAATGCCCCAAGATGGTAACTACCATCAATACANAGGTGATCAAGGTGTAGGATTTAGTCTCACATCAAGGGGGGATTATAATATGTTAGGTAAACAACTGAGAGGTATGGCTAACGGAACTAGTTTTCTTGACGCAGTAACAAAACAGCAACTTGATACGAAACTATCACTTTCTGGTGGATTAATGACCTGCAATTTGGATATGATAACAATAGGATATACAATGTAGCACAACCAGATGGTGATAATCAACCAGCCACAAAAATATGGTCAGAAAATAAATTCCTGGATAACTCCAGTGGAGTAATGGCTGGACCACTAAATATGTCCAATAACAAAATCACTAACCTTGCCAAACCAACTGATGATAAAGATGGGGTTAACGAAAAAATATCTAGATGATTATTATTTGAAACTGTCTGGTGGCACTGTTACTGGTCATATAATATTGAACAATGCTATCGCTACTTCACAATATCAAGCAAACAATAAGCCGAAACACTGGAAATGCATTTCTTGTACAAATTACTAATCCATATGTTTACCACCAATTTAATATGGCCAATAATAGGATTTACAATCTAGCTGACCCGACTGATGCTACTGATGCTATTAATAAGCAGTATTTAGAAAAATCTCACGTTAAACACAGCCATTACAATAATGAATTCAAGTACCTGATGACTAATAGATTAGCGTGGACTGATCTTCAAGCGGATAGTTTTAACATTACTAAAATTGATAATTTAATGCCCCAAGATGGTAACTACCATCAATACAACCACAAAGTTCTATATACAACAATTATAAAAGATCGGCAAGGAGGATACTCTTATAAAATGGGAATCAGTTGTTATCAACTTGATAAGGATAAAGATTATACTCTGTGTATTGAAATCCTCAATTCAGATTACCAATTATGGCATACATCAGTTGCTACAATTGATAAAACCACATCAAAGGGGGTATCAGTTGCTGGTTTTACGGTACAAAGTTTTCTCACCGGTACACAAATAGTAGTGGGAACACTGCATATATGTATTATATCAAAATAATTGTAAACTTTCAAAAAACTGTAGCAAATCTGTACAGTCTGGATCTTTACGTTAATATACCCGAGAAGGGCATTGATCTCAACACCTACCCAAAAAATTGGACAAATAACTGGATGATTGGCTTTGGGATTGGCTAGTAGCTATAAAATAATACAAGCAATATTAGGTATCATGAGTTCAGGCATCCTACCTCATATTTATTTTCCTAGAATGGATACTACCAATGTTTTGGAGGGTGTATTGAGGTTACATAATACCACATTAAGTTTGGAATTATTCAGTAAAAGGAGCTTTACTCTTTGTGTTGTTATGCAGCTGTGGCTGAACAAATCACTGAGTATAAAAGCGATTATGAGTAATGGAGCTTATGAAAAACCACATTTGATTTATGAGAAAACAACAAAGAAATTAACACTGCAAACTAATGGTCTGAGAGATAAGTCAACTAACGAAACTTCTATCATATTACTAAATAGTTTCAATGGTAAACGTGTTGTGTTTTGGTTAACTAAGAAAGGTACAGGGGGTGAACTAACAGTAAAAGCTTCAGTTAGTAATTATTGTGGAACATTAACACTAAGTTCAGCTTTAGCATCTCAAAGTACCTATACATTCAGAATATTCTCAGAAGATGCAATGATCTATAAAATAATGTACACTCCAAACTTTCATGACCTGGATTCTTTAGAATTTCAAAGAACAATGTTGCAAGAAAAACTAAACGGTTCCTGTGTTATGTAAACTAATAATATGATGAGTCAAAAGGAAAATATATTTCAATTTAATCATATTGACAAAAGTAAAACAAAAGAGGAGATCCAGGAGATCAAAGAATTGTACAAGTATTATCATTTGAAGTTCTGGGTTTATGAAAAGGCCCATAAATACTTCAAAAAATTGAATCTCCTATTAAATATGACATCAACTGGCCTCATAGTAGTCGGGACAGTTGCTGGTGGTTTGACAGCCAGCCCAGCCATTATAGGAAGCATATCAGGTGCTGGTTTAGCTCTAAAAACGTTTTCTGAGACAAAAGACTACAAAAAAAAGATAGAATTATCTAAATTTTGTTACACTACTTACAGTAAAGTATTAGTCGAGTTGAGGACTTCGCTTCGTGGTGGGACCTTTAACAAAGACCACTTCTTGAAGGAAATGACAGTATTGGATGAAACAATTGTGTATTTTGCGCCATTAGTGACAAGATTTGAAAAGCAGTGCGCTAAAAAGTCCCTCTCCCGCCCAACAGAAACTGTCAAACAAAATGGCGGACAGTTTGAGACAACAACCTCATCCCCAGGGCCCTCTCACTAAATGAGTAAAATCTATTTCCAGTTAGAGGGCTTTCCCTAGTTCCGGTCTAAATTCTGAGAAACCAGCCGGTCGATATCGGCCTTGATGAGACCATAAACTCTCTCCCACCAATCTGTATAATATTTTAGCGTATTTTTTTATCTGAGTAAGAGGAATAATCTTGTATTCTATTCCTAAAATATCAAATAGTTGTTTTATTATAAAATTTACACTGATAAGCCTTTTTCGAACACCCGGTTGATGGGTAACATTATCAATTAGTTGGAATATTCTCAGTATATTCTCTCTGTTATAATAACCGATTTGAATGTTGTTTATTTGTGCGATATTATCCATGACATTTATGATGTGATATTTTCTGTGATATACAGACTTTCTTTTTATTCTGTGTCGATTCTCATAAAAGTCAAGTATTCTTCCTCTGTTAAATAATCATGTACTTGGCCACAGTTTTCACACACAAGAAGGTTATCCTTGATCAGTCTCATAGAATCGCAGCAGAAATATCGTCTGGGCTTACCGGGATCCTGAATTTGTTTATTACAAAAGATACAATTAACTTGATCCTCTTGGATCAATAATTTGTGGACTTCTTTATTACACATTACTATACTATATTTTTATCTTTTTAAATAGTTTATGGTTTTGTCCTCACTCATCACACAGAATTTTACTCAAGCTGCTATAGTTTCACAGAATTTTCTACAGACTGTGGAAAATTTTGTGTAACCATTTGATTGGCTGAGAGTATAGCCTTCTAGAATCTTCTGATAACTTATTTCCTCAGGGAAACCCCTGTTTGATAATAGGTGTATACGTAACTAGTGATCAGTTAAAGTTGATTGTCAATTCATCGATCAATTGTTGTTGCTTTTTTGTGATCTTTGACATTGCTTCCTCTTTGGTCTGTTTTTTGTATTTAGCAACTGATCTATAACGTTTGCCATTAACTTTGGTATCGTAATAGAGTAACTTATTCATTGGATCATCTTTGATCTTGATTTTATCACCAAACTTCTGATGCAGTCGTTCTCGCATTTGATTTTCTGTCTCAATTTGCGCTTGATGCTTGTATTCAATTTTGACTGTCTGTTTTTGGACTGATTGTTTGTTGAGTAAACGGTCCCCATATTTTACACTATAATATCTGATATATTCGGCTTCCACTCTGTTTCATTCTTCACGATCCTTAGAAGATGCGCGTATTATTGGTGTGATCACTGGATTGTCACCCTTGTATTGATATACTGCACTTGATTTTGTGGTCCCATGTTCATTGAGCCGTTCTTGTAGATTTCTGATAGAGCTACCAATATACAATTTAATGTTGTGTTCGAATGTGATCTTATATATTTGCCCATTATGGTAGTAGTCATTGAAGTAACTATTTACTGTAACAGTTCGCGGCGGCATTCTGATTTCGTATTTGGAGATCAATTTTGTTGTATCGAGATGGATGTGATTCAATTCAGGTGTTCTGGATAACGCAGTATAGAGTTGTTTCTTGTCCATTTTCTCCTCATCATAAATGTTATAATGTTCGTTTATTGTTCCCCCCTGATATTTGTACACAGTAACACAAAATGCTGGTATGAAGGATTCGCGGAACTCACTATAGCCGAATATTGTACCATTAAGAATAAAATTGAGATTACCGTCTTCATTTTCCTCAATATTTTCAATGTTGTACTGCTCCATATTAAACATATCTTTATTGCGCATATTTTGTGTCACCAACATTGGCATTCCGGTTGTTACTTTATACTTTTCCCGGTGTCCTTGATACTTGAAATCGATCTCATAATATTCTTCATTTTCAGTAAATCTATCGCAGCATTCTTGCGTGACATGCCGCCTTGTTTTATTCAGATAGCATATATTATGGTAACTATCTTTTGGTGGTTGAAATTGGTGTTTGATAGTACCACTCATGAGAAACTTGGTTAACAGATCCCGTGTTTGTGGGTCGTATCGAGCATATTCTTCTATATACTTCATTTCAACCCGTCGCGGGCACATCTCTGAGATTGGAATGAATGTGAAATAATCATAAAACATATCAGTTGGTTCTACTGGATCACATTGATTTGTATCACCAAACATGTAAATAGTGAGTCTGTATTTAGTGAACGCTTGATAGAGTTTAGTCATCCACTTATTAGGGGTCATAGAATATTCGTCCACAAATATTGTTTTGCCCTCTAGTGCTGTTATGTCACGCCCGTGATGATCACAAAAGAACAGATCAAATGTGTAACACTTCTTAGCTAACTCATAATTATTGTTCACATCCCATAATACCGATTTTACATTCTGAATAGCCTTATTAGTAAATGATAAGATTATGGGGTCATCAGCTGCTAGTGCCTTTTGGCATAATCTGTATGTTTTACCACAGCCGGCGCCGCCATAATAAATAGCACCCTCTCCCACATAATCAGTGTAATTATCTGGATTAAAGTTCTCCCTGTAATGTTTCTGGAAATATACAGCCGGGCTATCAGTTTATAATATTTGTCCGATACTATCTATTGTAAATTTGACATCTTTCTTGTTGGGGTATTGGTTGTTAGGATTAGTCATAAATACGCCATCAGTATTGATTGCATACACTTGATTGATTGCATTGCCATCATTATCGTGACTCGCCTTGTCGTGTAACATATTCAGGCATTTTAATATAGACTGAGAGATTACAAAGCGGTTGATTGAAGTATTGTCAGAATATGCGCTCGATCTGTCTCTCCCTAATCAAATGCAATTCCTGTTTAGTGCTTGGATTCTGATAACTGTCTATTACCACGTCACGATTCTCAGCAAGAGCTGATGTCCAGATGCACTGTGCTGTATCAAGTGAACTACATGTAAATCCATGATCTTTGCGACTATATTTTCTACCCAGTTCGGCGATGTAACTGTTTGCCAGTAATTTAGCTTGAGATTCTGGGAACATTGAGAATATTGCTAACATATAATTCTTGAATGTATCCGGGGCTAATGTTTTACGTGCTTGGATACACCATTTAACATTAGAGGTGGGCATCTTGAACTTTGTGATTAGTGCGCGTATCAATGGTTCACTATAAAAACCAGCTTCAATTTTGATACCTTTTCCTAGTCGTTTGTCGATAACATATTCGTCGATGTAATATTCGCCCACTCCAAATACTCCATTAAAGGGTTTGATAACATCATGTATACTATGAAGGGGGATAGGTGTTTCATTATCGATCAGTATAGAAGGATAACATTTTGATATATCTAATGACACCAGATTATCGGGTGCCGGGTCAGTTGACCACCATTGTAATGCTCGAGGATAGAAATCATCAAGTACTTCCTGTGTTTTGGTGTCATACTGTGATCCCGGAAGATAGCCTCTCATGTGTTTAAATAATGAGGTTGCCAACGAGGTGTATGATTGATTGCACCAAATAAAATCATAAGACTTGTATATTTTGTATAGTCGCTCCCAGATCGATTTACGGTTTTCATATTAGCTATTAAGAACGTACATGTTATTCTTGTTGATCCATAAAGCCATGTAATCTGCCATTGTTATCGTAATGTAAATACTCGACAAAATAATTAGTCCTGATCATATACTCTTCAATTATGGGTTCTATTTTTGTATCCGGTGGTAACACGATTACGTGATTCTCGATTGTCGATAGTGTTGCTTTGTCTGTTTTGCTATCTTCTTGTTTGACGATAATAGCATCACCATTGTCGATAAGTTCTTGATACATAATGTAATTACTCGATTTGTTTGAACATTTGAGTTCTGACATGTAGCGCCACAGATTATCGGCGCCTCCCTGGTTAGCTTGCATAGCAATATGTTTGAGGCGGTCATCTTGAATGGGGTATAAATGATGGTCTTTGATATAGAATACCAATGTAACATCTGAATAACCATGTGATACTATGTGTTTCATAAATTTGCGCCACGTACTGTCATAAGCGTGGATCGATACATTTGGATGACACGCTTTAGCCCAATCAATTAAGTCTTGTGTTGACATCATTGGAAAACTGGCTGACCCATAAACTTCCATCTCATCATATAATTTTTGATACGTATATTTCTGGAATCCCTTCTTACCCTGGCAGGTATGCCAAACAAAATCCACCATACAAGTATTATCGCTCCGTTGTTTAATCTGAAACTGCTTGTCTAAGAACAATGTATTTAATTTTAGCACACCAACTTTATGATCTTTAAAGAACTGCTCATTGTGTGTTGTAATAGTAGCTCCAATTTCGGCTATAGTCTCTGTCGATAAAACTGTAAAGTTGTTTTGGAGCAGAGTGTACATCAGAAACTTATACATATCAGGTTTACTCAATTTTGGAACTTCCATTTTGAATGGACCATATGTCTTATCAGTGTAATCGGTCCTGTTACCAATTGTATGTTCAATAACAGCGTTTATTGTAAATTGTGCCCGCTCTCGTTTACCAGGCATCTGTTCTAGTCTTTCGTGAAACAAGTTTTGAAATGATGATTGTTTTTTTATATTTCGATACTCTTGCACGCTTCAATTCCTCATCCCGCATATCTTGTAGCGAAACAGAAATTTTATCTAATCTAATAGTAGGAGCTTGTTTATCGGACAGTTCCTCAAAGTACTTGATTCGGTCCTTAACTAATGCTCGTGCTGATAATTGTGTAAGAGATGGCATTCTGCTTGGCTGTTTGGCCGGTTGCTTTATTGATTGTTCCATTTTTTCGGCGGCCAACTGTGTAAGAGATTTTGGATTAAAGACTGGTCCTGCCCTTTCGGCGCTTGCAGTCTGAACCGGTCCTGCCTTATTGGCGCTCGCGGTTTGATTACCCATTAGTATATTTATTAATTCGTCCTTAGACATTTTCGATAGATCTTCCCTATTCATACTATAAGGGCAGATAATTTTATTTGCGACAATTTTCTTACTCATGCTCATTACTATATAGTAGTGCTTTGTCTTTAAGTACCTTTCGTTTTGTCCAATTAATTAGCAAAAATAACCAGTCCAAACCGGTCTCAAAAATGCTGACATCAGCAAAAATCCCAAAATCCCAGGGGTATGTGAATTTCGACTCTGACAGCCATCGTAGTAACTTTATTTTTGTAAAAAAGCAGGATTTTTACATAAAAAACGCAGTATTTTTACAACCGTTCAATTTGTAAAAAAGCAGGATTTTTACATAAAAAAGCAGCTTTTTTACAAAAAATTATTTCTGTAAAAAAGCAGTTTTTTCACAACCGACCAATTTGTAAAAGAGCTGTTTTCTTACAACTTTATTTTTATAAAAAAGCAGTATTTTTACATAAACAAGCAGCTTTTTTACAAAAATATATTTTTGTAAAAAAGCAGTATTTTTACAACCGTTCAATTTGTAAAAAAAGAACAGCTTTTTTTATGTAAAAATGACGCTTTTTTACAAGGACCGTTTTTTAATGCAACATGCCTCAAAATATCCCCATCGATTACCATCTCAGGTATCTCATAAAGTATCGTACACAATGATGTAGCTGAAACTAGCGTATACTAAAAGATAGATACATTCTGAACACCGAGGGAAGCGTGAATAATCGGCGAACTATCTTCGAATTGTTCCTTGATGCTGCTTTTAACGGAACAGTCACAGTTTTCCAAACAATCAGACAGGAATTCCGTCCACCTTTTAGGTCTCAGACACTGAAGCAAGTGCTTCTCAGTTTCCACGAAGAACTCAAAGAGCTATCATCTTTGTTTTGGAAGTAGCAAACCAATCAGAGCGCAAGTATAAATGCACCATGAAATGCACCAATAAGCGGTCGTTTTAGTTCGCTGTGTGCCAGGGTCTTCTCTACCGCCGCCATATTGGAAAGCGAGAAGACCGTGAGGACGAGGTTTGCTTGCAACCCTTCTTGGGAAGTTAAGCCTTGTGGCCTGGCCTCCAGACAGAACGCGGCAACAGGTTGGGCGCGATGCTCCCACAATGTAGGTATTCCCCCAAACCCTTGGCCATCAGTTTACATGTGTTAGCAGTAGCGGGAACCAAACAGGGTCCTAAAAGGGTTTAGGGCTCCGGGGCTCCGGACTCAAAATAGGGGGGCTCCGGGGCTCTGAACCAAAATAAACAGGGCTCCAGGGCTCCCCAGAAAATGGTCAGGGGCTCCAAGCACCGCTATGCTTTTTTGCTTTAATCCAAAAGCAAAATCCTAGTATTGTGAAATTACAGCAATTTCTATTTTTTTAAATGCTGTTTTCATGTTTTTCTCCACTCTACTCGTGTTTCACAGTTATTTAGAGTTATTGATCAATCATGATCAATGGATACGTTTGATATTTGACACAGTGAATGACGTCTCAGGGTTCAAAGGTTAAACCGCAGCAAGACCACGATTTCTTTCGTACCACGATGTGACAGATCCAAAAGTTTGAAAAGTCTTTCTTCGTCGTGGCATTTTCATCGGTAGTTTCTCGTAAAAAAAATCATGTCGATTGCAGAGGAAGAAAGAGAAGGTGAAGGATCCAATGAGCCTGCTTGGATCCGCTATGTGGATTTTTCCAATGTCTAGGTAGGACAAAAGCTTAAAAACCTCAATCAAGCAGTATAAAAAGTGTGGATTGCAGCGCACGTCTAGAATAGCATCAGTGAGACAATGAAAAGAATGAATGCTAGTTAGCCCCAGTCTAGTTTACGCTATCTGTGTGCAAGAATTTGTCCGAATTTTATTTCTTGGGGCTATGGGCTCCGCAGCAAACGTTTTGAGGGCTCCAGGTTCCACAGTAAATTAATATTAGCGCTCCAAGCAACGAAGCGATGGGGCTCCGGGTTCCGCGAAAAAAAATTTAGGGCTCCAAGGCTCCGGCCACACCCCCCCCCCCCCCCCCCCCCC